ACTAAACCAATCCAGCAATTTTTGGCTTCTTGTATGAGGCTTAGGCATTGTGAATTAGCTTCGCAACTCTGGGGTGCTGGATTTGATCCCAGCTGGAGGCGACTGGCAGCAGACTGCCTTGCATTGGTTTCAACTGTGGTATCAAGAGTGAACCTTTCAAAAAAGCAGTTGACAAACCACTGAACATTAAATTGCCTAGTGAAATCATGAAAAAAAAAATGCTGGCTTGGTTCTGCAACAACCTGTAAAGTACATGCATTTAAGTGTGTGCTGAGTTGATTCAACAACCGACATCACAGCACTCATGAAGAACTCTTTCAAGCATGGAGTTAAATTAAAGATATTCTGTAGGATACTACCCGATAAATTTCCTAAGAGATTTCCTCTCAGTGTTGTCTAAAATTGTTTGCTTTTCCCTTACAAGATGTTGCAAATAACCCCAGAATTTGTTGGCTGTTTATGATTTTTCTATGACATTTCACTTTCACCAGTTTACCAGGGCTTTCTAGATGGCTCAATGTTCATGAAATTATTGAAATCTGCACAGAGCAGTTTGCTGCCAAGTCACCTTCAAGATGACTGAACCCTGAATTATGAAACTAGGTTCATAAATGTTATCCACAGTCATGGAATATATAAAACAACATAACAACAGCAACCTACCTGGGTTTGTAACTTCACAGTTCACACCAGTGTAGGGAGACTCACAACTACACAAGTATTGGGAATGGTCATCACTGTGGCGAGAAAAAAAAAATGAAAATAACAATTTCTTTAAATATTTCAGTGCCAGAAGGACTGATAGCAGATTTATAAAAAGGCAGAAGCTTTGGAAACAATAGAAATGGGTGATCTGCTTTTAAGGAGCCCCAATATACAGTGAAAAGGACCATAAATGATTCCTAACTTCCTTAGGCTTCTGCAACAGAGGTAAACATTTAAACAGCATATTTTGTGATGGTTTGAATTTTCTGAACATAGTTTGTGAAGGTTTGAATTCTCTGAACATATTTTGTGATGGTTTGAATTCTCTGAACATATTTTGTGATGGTTTGAATTCTCTGAACATAGTTTGTGATGGTTTGAATTCTCTGAACATAGTTTGTGAATGCTTGAATTCTCTTAACATAGTTTGTGATGGTTTGAATTCTCTGAACATAGTTTGTGATGGTTTGAATTCTCTGAACATAGTTTGTGATGGTTTGAATTCTCTGAACATAGTTTGTGATGGTTTGAATTCTCTGAACATAGTTTGTGAATGCTTGAATTCTCTTAACATAGTTTGTGATGGTTTGAATTCTCTGAACATAGTTTGTGATGGTTTGAATTCTCTGAACATAGTTTGTGATGGTTTGAATTCTCTGAACATAGTTTGTGATGGTTTGAATTCTCTGAACATAGTTTGTGATGGTTTGAATTCTCTGAACATAGTTTGTGATGGTTTGAATTCTCTGAACATAGTTTGTGATGGTTTGAATTCTCTGAACATAGTTTGTGATGGCTTTAATTTAGTGAGAATTATAAATAACACTAAGTGCATTTCTTGGGACCTAAAGAGTTAGGGCAGTTTTATTTCATTACATTTAATTTGTTGCTTACTTTTTTTGGGTAATTCTGTGGCATCCACAAACAAGCTGGGAAAAAAAGAGGCTTTTGAACTGAAATGCTATAGAAAGATTCTCAGAATACCATAGACAAAGTAGAAAAGAAATACTGACCTCCCAGAGATCAGAATACCATAGACCAAGTAGAAAAGAAATACTGACCTCCCAGAGATCAGAATACCATAGACCAAGTAGAAAAGAAATACTGACCTCCCAGAGATCTGGACATCAAGGAAGACTGGCTGGTAAACAGCATCTTGCTCTGGAAACTGGAATAGTAACAAAAGAGATGGTGCCAGGAAAGAGGGGCAGGGACTGACCAGCTCAGTGATGGGCACAGGATATCATTGATCCCTTGGGTAGGAAAGTGCATGAGGCAGAAGATCTGGTGAGAGACCTGGTTTTTTCAGGCGTGCTGTGATGAGAACAACGTTCTTCACAAGACCTGCTACATGATAATGATTAATGATCCGTAGAGGAAATGACCTCTTCTTTTTCAGCATTATGAGCTCAGAAAATATCTTGCAAAATTCACAGATTCTTTTTTTTTTTCTTCTTTAGTTAAATCTCTATCTTCAAACAAAAACTTCAGTTCCTTCAGGTCTAAATTCCCTCTTTCAAATCACCTAAGCCTCAAACATTCTTTTAGTCGGATATAAAGTACAGTTAAATAGCAGATGTGTGGTAGCATTTTTGCTTGGTTTAATAAATTTAGTAATTGTTGATGGTGGAATGATATAAAGTTAGTTGTGTGCCCTTTACAGGACTTTGCAGAACCACCCTAGAATTTTTGGGCAGTTGTGGTTTTTCTAGGCAAATTTACATTCAGTAGTGTGCCATTTCTTAGAATGAAACATCGTCAATTTTTCTTTTTTTTAAACTATTAGAACTTCATACTCACACATACAGGAAAAAGAAACATACACATGTATGCCTGCACACACACACATATGATTTTTGTGTCCATATGTCGTTTTGTTGTTGTTATACTTTTGTCTGAAAATGCTAATGTTCAGTGCACAACCCTAGTATAAGGGGAATGTTTACAGTCTTATCTTTTCGTTTGTTATCTTGTTTAAAAAAAAACAATTTCAGTTTTGATTCCAATAATGAATTTGCATCAAGTGAGAGGGAGATAGTCTTCAAATGCTGTATAGAGTCAATCTTGATTTAAAGAAGTTAATCATGGATGTTGCACAGATTAGTTGGAAATGACATGGAAGCTAAGGTTAATAGAAAAATGAGAACACCATGGAAAGACTTATACAAATGTTATGACAATGCTTAAGATAACTTTTTTGGGGGGATAGATTTAGAATTGAACAACCCTCACTGTGTGGTCATCCTTTCTTCTTCTCTTCCACCTTGTACCTCAGTGAAGTGTCAGGGGAAGATGTAATATTTGTTGATGAGCTCTGTCAAGAGCACTATTAAGATTGATGTTCATTTCTATAAGGCTGTTCTTATTGCCATCACTCCATCTTTGTCGAGGTATTCAGCTCACTCTATACCCACTGTAACATTTCAGTGTGGCTAGCTGTGGTAGATAGTACCAGAGCATTCTTGTTAGGTGTCCAGATCTCTTTGTTGTGTTCTTTGATGACCTGTAAGACCTGGCTTTATTCCTAGCATTCATCTGATTTCCTGATTTTGTATTCTGTTTTTCCTTGAAACTCATGCAACTCTTCTAGGTCATTCTTTGAGACAGGGAAAATCAGAGTATGTCAGGATACTATTAAAGGTGGGAAGAAAGAGAGGCGGGGAAGGCCAAGAGGGATGTTGGGTGGCTGACATCCTAGAACAGAAGAACTTGTATATCAGAAATCAAAACTACAGAGGATCGTGAACAAACAGTATGACCAGCACCAGACAACATGGAGTATCAGGAAACTGAATACAGATTTTCTTTCTCCTTCTTTTGCATTATAGCTCAGCTGTGATTATAATTCTGATTGCATTTTGCATCATTCTGACATAGTATAGACTTACATGAGTTTAAAGTATAGTTATAGGGCTCTCCCTCCAATTCATCAACACAAGTGAAGTTTTGAGAAATATTATATTACCTTGGAGTGCATTTTGCACCATTCTGACATGGTACAGATTTACAAGGATTTAAAACGATGTCACAGCGTTCTCCCTCCCATTCACCAACACAAGTGCAGTTGTAAGAGGATTCCCCTTGTCCTGTATTTCTGCACACTGCATTATTCCAGCAGGGGCTGCTGTCACAGGGACTGTCCTTCTCTGTGCAATTTTTGCCTGATGAGAGGTTAAACTAAATTCATGAACTTAGAAAAAATAAATCATAGGTGATTCAAATTATTCACAGTTATATAAAAACAAATCCATTAAAATATATTAACAATCTATGCTTGCTTCAAAACTTGAGTTTTACTGGCACATCAGTTTTATAATTCTAGCTTATTTACACACAGACTGTTGATTCTTCACATGTCAGGCAGGTAGACTCCAATTTCGAAGTAAAGACACCTGTTTAGTTAGCTTTTATAACATATTTGATGGTGGTTGGGGAGGGGGGGGGGGGGGGGGGGGGGGGGGGGGGGGTCTGTTTTTTTTTTTTTCACCAAATCAATTTTAGTGGCCTGGTATTTGATCTAGCTTCTGTCAGTGTACTCATAAATATTCATGTGCCCTCATGCTTCCTCTGACATCTTGCATACTTGCATATTATAACAACACTCATTACCGAACATAAGCTCAGTTACACTTTTTACAAAGGGTGGGGAGAAAATACATATCAAACTGGAAAAGGACATGCACTGAAAAAAACTATTTCATAGCATAACTAAAAAGTTCTAAGTGACAGAAAAGAGATTTAGATCAGAGACAGAGATGACTTTTATGAGAAAGATTTGCAAATAACTACAAAAGAGGCAAGAACATGAGTACTTGAAATTAGATAGTATATCTTCTTCTTCTTCAGCGCTAAAATTCAAAAGGGAGGCTGGCTCACTGTGTTGTTGTTTATAACTAGGTTGCTTTTTGGCCAAACACATCTGACTTCAGCAAACCACCAGTTTGTCGTTTTTGTTTTTAAATGACATGCTTGTTAAAATAGCAGTAGGTCAATTCTTTTTTACCTAACATGAGATCCCAAAGCCCATACAGGGAATAAATGTTAAAGTTAAAGGTTAAAGTCAAGAGGATCATCTTTATTGTACATGGTTTCCCACCATATGGCTCGGTCTCTCTCTGCAGAATGGCTAGCTGCCTGCTGAGAGTGCCACACACAGCACATAGCTCCAGCGACCACCCACAGGGATCTCCGTAAAAAATTGCACTTGTGAACTAAAAGGCACCGCCGTGAAACGAACCCAGGACCTTGAGAGCACAAGGCAAACGGCTTGACCACTTCGCCATGGAGATCCTCTTTTAAAGGAAATATGTTGCATTCAGTATATTATATGCCAATACAGTATATAAGTTTGAGTATATCATTTTTAGAACACTATTGTCTAATATACCTGTGTCATGATTAGGACAGTAACAAAGGTAATCAGCCTGTAAGTTAACACAGATACCCTTGCCACAATAATTCAGCAGGCACTCATCAATATCTTCAGTGCAGTCCAATCCAGTCCAGCCTGAAGGAAACGTATGTCAAAAATAATATCACACACCTATGATTATTTTCTCACCAGAAGGAAGAATGGATGGAGAAATCAACATACAGTGTGCCAAAAACAAATCAGGTACTGGGGCAACTACCATCACTTTTGACACGTAGAGAAATACCTCTGTTTACCAAGGCAAATCTAATAAGAAAAATTGTTTTGGCTAGCTTTATGCTACCAGTGTCAAACATGGATAGACTCTTACAACACATGACAAGAACAAAGTTGTAACTATAGAGATGAGATTTTGGTACTTATCATGAACCCTCCCCCACAACAAAAGATCCTTCCCTTCCCATTCAAGCCGCAGGGGGCCTCATGGCCTGTCCTTTGTTGTGGGAGGTGTCATGTATTCCTTACTTTAACCGTTGTCTCTTTTTCTTGCATTGTCACTACTCACTTGCGTGATTATTTCTACGTTGTGCTACTTGTCCAACGATTCGGGAGTATGGAAACTGCAATGTTTTTGTGTAACTACATTCCTTGACAGTAGCTTCTCTTTCTGGTGGGGTGGGTGGGGCGGGGTGGGGGGGGGGGAGGGGGGGCCCAAGAAACATAAAAATAATTTTAAAAATTCAGTTTAAATACTCCTTAACAGTCACGCCCTCGGCACTTCCCCTCTACAGTACGTCTTACTTGTACACAGGCACCTTAAAGAGACTCACAACACAGCCACCCACAAACATTATATATGTTGAGTGAACGCCGAACAAAGCCATCTCATAATGCTCCCATAAAATGGGACAAACCATGCGACCCACTACAGCATGAATGGCAAGGGAAAGAACTCTCATTGTGCGGGCGGCTTTGTGATGAGTTCCAAGATTTTTGGGGAAAAGCCAACAGCCATCTGACCAGAGTATTCTTGTATGAACTGCCACAGGGAACCAACTGAAGGAATCAAATGAACAATGACCAAGAGGAAGACAATACACAAGATGGGATGACTGCATCAAAAACAGCCTTAAAGAAATCAAAATCAACAACACAATAGAAAGGGCACAGAGATGATAGTACATCTCCCCTCAACACTTTGTGAGGTAACTGGAGGAACAGAAGAAAAATAGGAAAAAGAAGAAGTAACAAAAATTGTTGCTTAACCTGGTTTTTTTATTCGTTATTTTATTATTATTATTATTCTTTTTTTAAGTGTCCTATTACTTTAGGTTTTTGTTTTTTTGCAAGTAGTTGTTAGTTTAAAGTAATACATGGTTGGGTTTGAATGAGCTAAAATAAGAAGAAATGTAGTTGTTAAGCCAAGAAGATTGTAAACAGGAGCCTAAACAATAAGATTACAGATGTAGATTATCATATAAGAGAAAAAGTCAAAATCATTCCTTTTTAGAAAAAAATAAGTTAAAACAAGATTGGTAAAAACAAGCAGAAAAAGGGTTATAACAAGTAGCTCATATAACTGAAAGACTGGAAAGAAGAAAATCATATAACAGAGATGTTGAAAAAAAGAAAGAGTGGAAACAAGAAGAGAGTAACAGAAAGAGTAGAACCCAGACGAACATGTAACAGAAATAGTAGAAACAAGATACATGATTACATAAAATATATATTGGACACAAGACAATAATGTAATAGAAATCAAGGAAACTAGAAAATAATGTAAAAGAAATACTGGAAATAGGAAAATCATGGAACATAACATAGAGAGCAGGCATCAAGACAATAATCAAATGATGAATTGCTTGCTAAAAAATGAGAGCAATTATACATTTTTCTAGAATTGTGATAGAAATTACTTTCATAATATATAATACAGTTTTAAAGTAAAAATAATCAACTTCACTACACCAGGTATTCTTGCATGGCATGGGAGCTACCTAATCAAAACAGCTAGATGCTGCCCTGCTAAGGTCTTGGGTTTGGATCCGAACGGTGCCAGACTTTTTTTTTCAAAAATTACCTAGGCTCCTAGGTCGACCCAACCTTAAAGTATCAGGTATATCTAGAGAAGTAAAGGTGGCCAGTGTAATGTTGACATCACCACCCCCCCCTTCCCCCCTCCAAGCTAGGTGTAGCTTTGTATGCCCAATATGCCTGAAGGTGGGGAACAACAGGGTCCTTTACTTCCTTTTACTTACACCAAGTATATCTCATATGGCTTGGTCTTTCTCCATTGAATGACCAGCTGCCTGTCGAGAGTGGCGCATAATGAATAGACTCTGTAACTGACTGCAATGATGATTCCTGGAGTTCTCCGTAAATTGCTCTCATCAACTCAACGAAACAGTAAAATAAAGCAACGATAGGAATAAACTCACAGGGAGCAAGTACAGCAGGGATCTACCAGTCGTCAGTAGAAATTATCCTCGTCGACAAGTGTTTCGGCCCACGATTCCTAGACACTTTCGGAGGTGGGCCCACCTGAGTTCATGAAGCTCAGGGCTGGTACCCTGCTGCACGAAATTACCGGATGGTGTTTTTCTTTCGGATAGAGACAAGACGACTTGGTGGTTTGCAGAAGGTACTGTGAGATAAGAAGTCATCGCGGCAGCCTAATTAAAGCAGTCAGCATACCTGGACGACCGAGCGACAAGCTTACGATTGGTTTACCGGACACATGTTGGACTTTATTAGCAGGTGGCAGAGGATCACTGGCAGACAATTCGGGCACGATGGACTTTCAAGGGGTGAGAAACCCTTTTCGGCTAGACACCCGGACCAGCTCACCGAGGCCCGTCCCCTACGTTGTTGCGTTGCATCCAAAGCCAGCTTGAGGCCCTTTCGGCGACCTCGCCCAGTTTTTTGAGTGTTCGTTTCCGTTCATTACCGCGCAATCCTAGTTCTTTAACCACATTGTAGAGCGAAGTGGAAAAGAGGCCTCTCGCTCCCACTTCGACGGCAAAGACCCGTACTGTGTACGCCTCGTTTCTCCTCAGACCGGCTGCTAAATCACTGTATTTCTCGAGCTTATACGTGTGATTCTCTTCCATACGCGACTCATATGGGACGGTCAACTCAATCAGGATGAGCTGCCGTTTTTGCGCAGAGTGGAAAACTATGTCAGGTCGCAGGCCGGTCTTCCGGATCAACTCCGGGTACCTTTCATGGCCCGGCAGATCAACCGCCAGTAACCAGTCCCTCGCAGAGTCTAGCACAGATGGAGCGAATGTGTTTTGGTTGACCTTACCTTTTTGGAACCTGTCCAGCCTTGAGGAAACGAATGGGGACGATGGTAGAACTGGCTCTGGCGTTAGCCCTCATTCTAGCCTGGTCAACAACGGCTGCTAACTCTTTTAGCACCTTGTTGTGTCGCCAGGTATATCGGCCTTGACCTAGGGCTTTCCTGCACGCGGACAGGACGTGTTCTAGAGTCTGCTTCGCTTTACACAACGGGCAAGTCGGATCGTTAGTCGCAGACCATTTAACCATGTTAACACCGGACGGTAATACATCAAACGCCGAACGAACGATAAAGCTCAGTCGCAGCGGGGTTATCCGCCAGGTCTCACCCCATGTGAGTATTCTTGGCAATGCGCTCTCCAGGCTGACCCAATGGCCCTGCTGCGACTGCTGGGCTGCTTTCTGAACCAGAACCTCGTTTTCGTTGTCCCTCACCATTTGTATTACCATGTCTCGGCGCTCTTTGGCTGAGGCCTTTGACCACCAATTGACCTTCCCGTGCCCTAGGCCTCGACGGTCGGTTTGAGTGTATCCCATTATCTCCTTCAATTTTAGTGCATTCTGGGCAGATTCTATCGCATCGAGGACTCTCCACTTCTGGCCAGTCTTTAGAGCGGGCTGGACAGCGATGACATTTGGGTCTGAAGACTCGCGCAAGAGCATAGCGAGTCTTACTTTGCCAACTTTAAACTCTTCGGTTATCGATTTGAACGGGAGTACCAGCTTAGCTTGCTTGCAATACAGAGCCACGTCAGTCAGACAAGGCGGTGCACCAATCCACTTTCTCAAGGCTGTGTTGATTTTCCTCTCCATGGTTTCCACTGCAGTCATCGTCACCTCGTAGACTAACAGTGGCCAGAGGAGCTTTGGAATCAACATGAATTGGAGACACCATACCTTGAATTTCTCGACCAGCCTGCAACGCTCGATCGCGAGCAGGCCTGCAGGAGGCAATCAGTTTGACCACTTCATCATAGAGAGCTCCTGCTATCCACCCTCTCCCCCCCCCCCCCCCTCCCCACCTCCCAACATCTTCCCCAAAATATCTCATAAAAAAAAATAATAATAATAATAATAATAATGCCAAGAAGTGACTGATATAGTAATAAATGTTGAAAATAATATTATTTTAGCAGATAAGCTAATTCAAGTAAAAAGTATTATATTAATTAGCGTGAAGGATTAATGAATATATGCCACTATACGTTTTGTTTTATTAATGGTTTTTTTCCTTTTTTATCTCACATTTTTTAATGAGGAATTTACCAGATTGTGCTTCTATGTACACATGTGTAAAAATAATAAATCCACCATGTTGATGACAAAATGTTAATAAGATTGTCTAATTTTTTTATAGTACAGTGTCTACTATAATCACAACCCAAATCAAAGCAATGTGCCAAATACAAATAACATTTTCTGTCTTACATAAATAATTACACGATATATAAATATTTAAAAAAAACAAAACAGATACTCTGAGAACTCGATGAACACTATACATCCCATTTATAACCCTGAGGATTGAACAGGACATTTTTTAACAATTACGACTACATGTGTATGCATGAACATGTGTGTTTATCTGTTTCCTTTTATGTGACTATGGGAATTTATACATGTGACACCTTCCTCTTCTTCTTCTCTTCTTCTTCTATGTCTGTCTCTAGTTAGCTCTTTGAGGTCTTGGGGTTGGTTTTTATGTGTGTGTGTTTTTTTACAGTGAAGAGTGTTAATTGCTTTTGTGTGTGCTCTTTCTAATTTGTTGCAAAAGTGACCATTGGTTTAGGCTGTTTTTGATGTCATCGTTTATCTTCTGTATAGTCTTTCCTTAGTTCTGTGTTGACCCTATTTCTTCAGCATGGCTTTCTATGATAGCTGGTACCAAGGCATTCTCAACACATGGCCACACCATCTCATCTGCTGCTCTTTGATAAACTGTGTGACTAGTTTCAGCCCTGATTTTGAAATTTGTGAAACCAAAAACATAAATAAAAACAACAGGTTTCACTTACCTGGTAAACAAATTTTTGCACCTGTTTCTGGGTCACAAGTGTAATGTTCCTTTGGTCCATTTGATGCGAGGCAGTATTTAGTACAGTTTGAGTTGTAGTAGTTAGTCTCACAATAGATTCGGATCTGAAATACCAGCCTGTAAAAATCCACAATCATTGAGAAAAAAAAAGCTGTCTCTCTGTATGGAATTTAGAAAACATAATGTTAACAATTTCTGATGTAAGATAGTGATTTATTAAATGGGGATGGGAATGCAGAGGTGCTTAACCACACAAATGGGTGCACCAGGATGATGGCACAAACTAATCAAGCCTTCTCTGCACCTCTCTCTGGTCATCCAAGAAACAGGTTCCCGCCATTGTGTAGTGGCTAGACACCTGCCTGTGGATCGGCCTGCTGTCATAACTCCTGGTCCTGACGAAGCTGGGCTTTTTTCAGAAATGACCTTGGCTTCCAGGTAGACAAGATCATCATGTTTTTTTTTTCTTTTCAAATCGCGGTGCGTAGTCTGCATACAAATATTCCAGATCTGTAAAATGGTTGTGCACATAAAACTCTAGTTCTGGAGCAACATTAAAATCCAGAATTTATGTGCAAATCAAGACCACAATTATATAAAGGTTGTACTCAGCAGATTTAACAGGGTCAAAATAATTTTATTTTTCCTAAAACAAACTAACGAACAAATCTCGGTAGGTAAACCATTTATCTCATGGTACGAAATCTGTGAGTTAATTGCAGACTCTATCCTTTAGTCTGCAAGTAAAAGTGATTCTTTCTTTTGTTGCATTTATACTTAAAAGGTGGTAGGCATAATGTGTTGTGGTTTACAGCTAAGCTGTGATATCTACACTTTTTGGCCCAACACATCCGTTTTCAGTAAAGCCCTAATTTTTCACCTGTCATGGAATGCTTATTAGAGGGCAGTAGGCCTAATTTCCCCCCCCCCCCCCAACCCCGCATGTCAGTAACAAGACACCACCCTAGGAAAAGATGGACTGATGACATTAAAGAGCTTCCACATTGACACGGAATAACAATAGCCAATGCTGCCCATAAAGCAATGAATCGCAGACTGTTCCTCCCCACAATGCTTAAAAGCAGAAGTGGAAATTGATGATGACAATGGTATCAGTAAGAATCAAAGTTTGTCAGTTAAATAACTGTGCCCTTATGGGAGTACAAGACATGGAACTACCTCTAGAAAATATATTTATAATTTGCTGTTCATCATCATGATCATCATCATCATTAACCTCAACCTTCGCTAATGATAGGTTTGCCTTCCCCTGATGCTTCAAAAATCTAATGGTGGATGGCTAACCAGCAGTGCATACAACAGATACCCCCATTAATCTCCTAAGAAGTTATATTATGGTACACTCTGCAATCCTGTGTTTGTGAAGATTGGATGAGTGGTTGGTTTGCACCATTATTTCCTTGGGGATGGGGGGGGGGGGGGGGGGGGGGGGGGGGGGGGGGGGGGGGGGGGGGGGGGGGGGGGGGGGGGGGGAGAATTACAAAGTACAAAATCAGCAGTAACAGACTCTTATAAAGTTAAATCTATACTAAGTGAAACAATGAACATAAAATAGGATGAATTCAAAAGAGGTGAGGAAATAAGAGAAATGTCTGAGGAGCCACTAGTATCACCAGTTATAAGACAGAGAAGATGGCACTACACTGGAACATCCTGAGAACAAGTGAGCAGATAATCACCAAACAGACACTAAAATGGGAAAAAAAGTGATTAAGGGGGGCGAGTATGCCCAAAAGAAACCCTAAAATGAACGTTGATGAGAGAGGCCAAAGGTGCTGGACTGGATTTTATCCATAATATTGAATTCATTGCACAGGATAGAATGGAATGAAGGAATAGACTGCTAGCCATATAATGAAATTTAATGGCACAACAGGACATTGAGTGAACGAAGTGAAACATTATACTTTTTAAAGAAAACAGTTCAATCCGCCCCTGTTTAAACACACACATATATACACAGTATATATGGGTATAATTGACAAACATCTTCTTCAAAAAATAATTGTGTGACTGTTGCCAGGGGACAAACAGATGGTATTTACTTGTGTACTCCACTGCTAGTCTGGCTTGACTGCCCAAATTGCATCATTCTTTGATGAATATACAGTCTCAGCCATCATTGTGCCCCATGTTTGCATATGATCATCACTTCCAAACAAATCATCATCTCGAACTTGGATAATCAGAAAAATTGATGAGTCCTAGGAAAAACCATGAAAACAAATAAATTTAGTTTCATAGGTTCTGTGTTACAGTTTTAAAGGTTTCAACCCATTCAGCTGAAGTTAAGGGGAAAACCACAGGAATAAAAAAAAATAAAGAATGTATTTTTCTTTTTCTTCTTATAGTCCATGCCATGTGACATTCACAACTTTCTGTCTCGTGTACTTTCAGTCAACTCTAACATTTTTGATTTTCTATGCCATGATGTCAAAACTGTCCAGCATCTTTCTCTCTCAGCCCCCGTCTGCCCCTTTGTCCCTGCCAGCTTTCACACTGTCTTGATGTACTCCAGTTTTCTCTTTTTCATGGCATGACCAAAAAAAATGTAGATTGTTCTCCTTTTGATATGGGCAGTTAGTTTTCTCTCTCTCTCTGTGAGTCATTTTCTTTAATGAAATCTTCATTACTCTTTTTTTATCCATCCAAGGTATTCTCATCATTCATCTACAAAACCACATCTCAGAAGCTTCTAAATCAATTTT